CTCCACAAATAAAACACTTTCTGCCCATATTTGAATTTTTTTGAAAATTTGAGAAAAAATTTGTCAAATTTGAAATGTCTGTAGTTTTAAAGTTGTCAAGTAGATGACGCTAGTTACCGGACGATTTTTTTAGGTTAGTAGAATTCATCGTATCCATATAAAATCGGCAGTATGTTACGGCCGTATGGAGCGCAGCGGAAGACAGATGAAGTTGGCCATGTCCTTACCTATGAAAGCAAAGTTAACTGGATGAGTGATCTTATTCATCTTGTGATATTTGGGCCATCTGTTGGGCTATTTTGTAACAAATACCTATATTAGATCCTATAGAAACCTGTAGAGAATGTCTCGCAAAATGTATTCCCAGAGTTTCCCATAGAAACAGGTACAAGTATGTTTTAAAAAAGTTTGGTCTTTATAGGTTTATTCCTATAGAACTCCAACACACCTCCTTTCCTAACTTTTTTCTTTCTAGTTAAAGCTCTACGCTCTTCTAAGCATACTTGCTATTTCCACGGACCACCAATATGGCGTTTTCTACTTGAGATTGCGGCTTTTTTTACCCTTTCTTGAACTCATATTTCATACTATGAAGATTCAGCTCTGACGTTTTTTGCAGAAGTACTTTTCGGAACTTTTCCCCTCTACTACAAACTTAGGTTTTCCCGAGTTTAGGTTTTTTACGTTTTTTCCTGAAAGTTCAAAATATACAGGGACATTTTTTTATTAGTATACATAGCCCTATGTATACAATTAAAAAAAAGGGTCAATTTCTTAGGGCAGGCAACCAACATTTCTACCTTTAGAGGGTATATACTAGATATTCAAATATTTAAAACTAAAATTTTGTGTCAAATTTGTCAAGTGTCAGTGTTGAAACTTGAAGTGCAGCTTTCAAAAGTTAATACCATTTGTAATATCATGTACACCAAAGTAGATTGGGAGATATGATCTCTTCGCATGGCCCCCACAATCGCCAGACGTGGCATCTTTTTTTTTTTGAGATATTTAAAAACAAAAATTTATACTAATGTTCCAATGCAAAATGTAGAAGAGCTGAAAGAACGTATTCGTACAGAATGTAATAATATAGTTCCTGAATTTATCAGAAATGCAGTGCGGGGTTTTCAAAATCGCTTGGATTATTGTTTGGAACTGTAAGGAAAGTATTTTGAACACTTGCTTTAATTATTAAATATTTTTCATGTTTTGATAGGTTTTATTATTTTTTTTATTAATATTTAATTACATTTACTTTGTTGTTTTTAAAAGTTTGTCTTTTATTTATCAATAAAGCCTTTGTAATATTGATTGCCTATGCGTAGACTAACGGTTAATCGTAATTGCCATAGTAACATTGAAGTTGACCCGGTTTTTTTAAAAGGATACATAGGGCTATGTATACTCATAATGTATTTTTTATATACTGAAAACTGTTACATACTCTTGCGTCATGGATTGACCCTGGATAACCCACGGAAGTATTCGTAAACAATCGACTCCAAGTAACCACCCCCTGAAGTGTAATCTAGTGGCGAAACTTTCGATCCTGATAACTTGCCTGGTGCTGAACTGGCACTTTGCATTCGATATGACACACATCAATTATTCCAATGATACCTACCTGAAATACCATCATTTTTAATCAGATAATATGAGTACTTTACTTTTTCCACTATTGCGTAAAATGTAAAATTGTGTAAAAACAATACTGTACCTACCTGAAAATCTATTCCGTTCTTCGAATTGCTTACTTAGCAATTGGCATTCTTCCTCATATAATAAATTTACCCCTTAAGTTATTAATCGCTTCAATAATAACTATAATGCAGGTACATGCTTTGGATTTGGCGACATTAAAACGATCTGCCGTTGAAATTATTGTGTCGCTTTTGGCCAAATATCATAAAGTTATTAAGAGTGACTTTGCCACTGGCATTGGCATATGTCCCCCAATATATTTTTTTCCAGCCAAATGAATACTAATTTCCCTATGTAATTTTTGATAGGTGGCTTTTGTCATGCGGAAATGATCAAAAAAATCGTGATCTAAATACCAGACTATCCACTTCTCATAAAAATCCAGCTAATCCTAACGTGGACATTCCGGTACCCAGACAGAATTTTAATCCATTGTAAACTCATTTTGTGGAGAACCCCAACTGTCAACCATATACAAAAGAGTTTCTTCGTGGTCTCTCCTCCGTTTCTTATATTCATTTTGGTAGCAATAGCAATTTTTGGAAATAGGCATGTTGCGCGCTGAAAATTTTTATATAAGATTTTTTATACATAAACGCCCTGTTAATGTAAAACAAAACGAGAGAACTCTCACCTGAACTGCGATAGTTTTCACAAAATGATTAATAAAGTTAGCTTTTGAACACTTGCTTTAATTATTTAATATTTTTCTTGTTTTGATGGGTTTTATTATTTTTTTTTAATTAATATTTAATTACATTTACTTTGCTGTTTTTAATAGTATATTATAATACTAGTTTATAAGCAAGCCTTTAAAACACGCACGACGCGTCAACGGAGTGCTTTTAACGTCGTAAGTGTTTTAAAGGCGCTTATAAACGAGTGTTATACGCTATTTTTATTATACCTGCCCATTTACGATCTTTTACGAGCATTGAAAAAATGTGAATTTACACAATAAAATTAACAAAGGTTGTTTGTGAATCGTTTTCGTAGAGACGGTTACTAGTTTACGTTGTTAACCATATTTTTTCACGTTGCGATTGGTTCAGACATTTCACTATTTCTTGTTACCTACCTAGACAGCTTTAAAATTTCAGCGTGCTATAAAGGCCAAATTACGCACGCTGTAGCGTGTTTTAATTTAGGACTATGATGCAGGTATAATAAAAAAAATTGTCTTTTATTTATTGATATTAAAGCCTTTGTAATATAGGTTGCCTTTGCCTAGGCTAACGGTTAATTGTAATCATAGCAACATTGAAGTTGACACAGTTTTTTTAAATGTATACATATACATTTGTGTACGTATACTAATAAAAAAATGTCCCTGTATACAGGCTGCGCCAGAACTCGCGCCCCAGAGAAAAATTTCAAGTAAGATAAAATACCAGGAACATGAAAAAAATATGTTTAAAAAATTCTATCTGTCAAAAAAATTTGACATTTATTTTTTTGAAATTTGACATTTTTTATGTCTATTTAATGATACTGATGATCTTGTATATCTTTATTTATAATTATTTAGTAAAAGTACAAACATTTTGCCAATAAAAGCCACAAATAACATTAAACAGAGTTACAATTTAGGATACAGCTTCCTTGTGTCCGCTTCTAACAGCCTGTAGCAAAAAAACTTGGAAAATTATTTTTCCAACAGAAATAAATAAAGTCAAAGTGCAAAATTTAAATTCTCATAACTTCGAAATTTTTATAGATAGAATTTTTTCAACATTTTTTCTAGGTTCCTGGTATCTTACCTTAGATGGCATTTTTCTCTGGGACGCGAGTTCTGGCGCACCTGTATATATGTGGGACCTTAGCGATTTCTGCTTGAGAACTTTCCAATTCTTTATATTTTCTGCAGTGTCATATGATGAACACGTAATATCCATAAAAGAAGTACTAACATCTCTTTGAAACGTGGGCCTTTCCCCGTCATTTTGACAGACATAGTCCATGTTTGCCAACATTTTTATTAACATGTTTCCTCTTTTATCGGTCTTAGCAGATCCCCAGATGACAGACTTAGCGTTAAAATCTTCCAGGATAATACTTTTGTTTTTGTCTTTTAGAACATTACTTTGCAGTTCCTCTAAGAAGCTTAAAAATTTCCCTAGTTCAGCATTTGGAGACAAATAGCAGCAAAAAATATTATATTTATTTATCTTCACACGTACGTAGCTGTTGAATTTTAAACTACCAATTTATGTAAACCATAAAGTCCAATAGAAAAATTAA